GTGTTAGTTCCCCCCTACTTGTGTGTATGTATATACATCTGGGTTTATGTGTTTCCTCTCTCTCGTAAATTTAGCTCTTCTGTACCTGATGATGGCTGCTTGTGTTGCAACCGAAACGTCGTACGCTATTATGTTATTTTATTATTTCTTATTTATACGTGACTTTACCGAAAAAAAAACAAAGAGTAATTCCTGCAGTCACGAAAGCTTTGAATCAAGTCTGTAGTGCCTCTTGTTAAACAGTGCTTCAGTTAAACAGGAAAATTAATAAATCCAGCAGGCATGACTTGAAAAGTAACAAAATTACATTTTGGGTGGCACTCTAAATCGTCCGGTAAATCGTGTCGCCAATTATAATTTCTGCGTTTATCTGCGCGTGTCTGTGTACCCCCAGTGGAGGAATACGTGCGCAGCTTGCTGGACAACCCTGAGTTGATTGACCGTCTGGCACTGGCCTCGGAGCAGGTGAGACTCCGTATGCGTGCATCAGCTCTGCCCCCCCCCCTCATATTTATGGTGCGGGCCTGTACCCTTGTCCGACCCCTCACTTCCGCGTTGCATCCAGCTGCCTCACTGAAGAAAGGGACACTTGCCTTGCGCTGAGTACGACGTTTCGCTGGTTGTAATCGCCAGGGAAACGATATACTCGATTTGTAAGTGTTGTGGGTTTACTCTCCAATACACTGGCGTGCTGCAGTAGTAACTAATTGACACGTTTTGTTTTACGTAACAAACCTTACTAATTTTCTGTGCCGGGTTAACTACGCACATTTACGCGCTCTTACCCAAAAAACCTTTATTATGGATAATATTGGTCGCAAAAGAACACGTGTTAAACAGCTCCCGTTAAGAACGTCTCATCCTCACCATCAATGGTCAATCAATCAAATAAATCCTAGATTTATAACGTGGCATATTTACCAAAAAGCAGAGACGGAAGGGTGAAACTCTAGAGGTAGCTCTTTGATATCCGCTTTTGTGGAACGTTCTCTAACACGGATGGCCGTACTGCTCTGAGATAAATCAGACTGGATCCTTCGTCTCGTTACGTGATGGCGGTTGCAAAATTGTTGTTGACGCGTGCATGTGCCGTGCGTGTGCTGTGTACGTGTGCAGGATGTGGTGGAGTCCCGGGTAATCTTCCCCGAACATCTCCCGCTGTCCCAGCTGCAGCAAGGTGTGCGCTCCGGCTGGTTTGTCCAGGGAACCTTCCTTGCGAGTCGTGAGAATTACCTGGAGGGGACTCTGAGGGTGCGAGGGGACGGTGACAGTGATAAAGAGGTACACGTTTCACAAGCCTGCGTCTGGAAGGAACAATGCTGTCCGATCGTATCTGTGTGAGTTTTAAAAACAAATTTATAATTAAGCAGTGGCATAGCGTTCTTGGCATGAGCAGTAGCTCTTAACCTTTACTGCAAGGCTGCAGTAAAGGTTAAGAGCTACTGGGCTAAAATATTTGTATTTTGAACGTCTTTTGCACCCTACGTAGGTGTCATAGCCTGGCTCCTGCCCCCCCGGCCTGTGAGTCTTGGTGCAGTTGCACTGCCTGCACACTCGATAGCTACGCCACCACAACTACAGTATATACGTTAATTGTGACTACTTTAATAATAGGGTTTTTCCCTTTTTTTTCTGGCAACAAAACTGAAACCTTTTACAAGGAATCATGTGTGCATTAACCACAATACTTGTGGTCAAAATGCAAACAAAAAACACACTATGATAATATATGCATTGTCCTTGAGACTGATTGGTTCACACCAGGGACGGCTTTCTTTTGAGCCTCGACCCAATTGGTGCGAGACCAGAGGACGCCAAAAGGCGTACGCATATATTGCAAATATTATCAGTGTGTTTTTGTTTGCATTTTGACCACAAGTATTGTGGTTAATGCACACCTGATTCCTTGTAAGAGGTTTCAGTTTTGTTGCCAGAAAAAAGGGGAAAAACCCTATTATATTTTGGTACTGGCAAAGGAGGTCTAATGATGGTTGTGACTACTTTGTTAACAAAATGAATGGTCTATTTCCACCTCCAAAATGTAACGTTAAATAACAATTAGGTACATTGGCCCTTTGTTGGAAAAAAAAAACCCAGTCTAGAAATTGCCCTACTTGAACATATGTTACTGAAAAACATTGGTTTCAGAAGATTCATGGGCTCATAGTCCTACATTTTAAATTGTTTATTCGTGGTATTAAAACTCTTGTACAGTAAAACCTTGGATTGCGAGCATAATTCGTTCCGGAAACGTGTTTGTAATCCAAAGCACTCGTATATCAAAGCACTCGTATATCAGTTGTGATCACGTGACGCTCGGCAGTACAAAGCTGCTCGTATTGCAAGACCCTCGCTCGTTTATCAAATTAATATTTATTAAAAATTTTGCTTGTCTTGTAAAACACTCGCAGACCAAGTTACTCGCAATCCAAGGTTTTACTGTATATGCTGCTCTCTAACAGCACTTGGCCCAGCGGTCTGTTAAGACTATACGGGGGATCTTTTTTGTCTGCGTGCAGGTGTTGATCCAGGGCCTGCAGCATTTAAACCGCGCGATGCACGACGACATCGTGTGCGTGGAGATGTTCCCCGAGGAGCGCTGGGTTGCCCCCTCCTCGCTGGTCCTGCACGATGAGGGCGTCGCAGGGGACGTTGCAGAAGAGAATGAAGAGGATGTGGTGAGTGGAGCGTCAACACTGCCGAACCAAAATCAAACCCAGACACCTGCAGTGTGCGTGTCTCTCTCCCCGTGGTCGCATGGATTTTTCTCCAGGTCCTCCGGCTTTTCCCTCCACAGTTACAATCTGACATGCACTTAGAGTATGTGGCTGCTATCAATTTCAAATGTGATAAGATACTTCACTGAACGATCATTTGTGGCCAGGTCACTTAAAAAGAGCTATAGAGCTCTCAGGGTCCTTACCTGGTAAAGTTATTTAGTTTATAGTTTTTAAATAGTTTTAATATAAATTTTGATTTAAAGCTTTCGTGACTGCAGTAATTCATATTCTTAGTTTTTTTTCGGTAAAGTCACGTTGAAGGGAAACAACAAAATAATAAAATATATAAAACAATAAAAAAATTCTCACGACGTTTCGACCATAACTCAAACGGTCGTCTTCAGGTGTGTTGGTTTGCATAAATTTATTTTTAAACGGCGCATTTATTTATTTATAAAAACGTTAGCGCCACGCGCAACGATTTGGCAGTTTATTTAGGACTAGCCCATCTATATTCTGAAAAGAGGAGGGGGGAGACAATTTTTTATAATGTATGCTGTCTGAAAGCCACTGTAAGCGTGAACAATCAATTAAGACCTGAAATGGTTTATCAAATCTTTCCAATGATTGCTAAGATAGAATCCATCTTCTCGGTTGAAATTGTCTCTGTGCTTGTATATGTGGATAGCCTCATGAACGAATCTCTCATGGAAGCCAGATGGCTTACAAAGAACCTCTGTCTTGGAAAAGTCAATGGCATGTGAGCCTACTGAATTAGAACAATGATCTGCCACGGCCGAGGTGTTGGTCCTACCGTGTTTAAGGTCTGCTTTGTGTTCACGAATGCGGTCCGAGACATGGCGTTTGGTTTCTCCAATGTAACTACTACCACAGAGGCAACTTAGTTTGTAGACACCAGGGTATTGTATGTCCGGAATCACATCTTTTACAGACGGAACCAGATCACGGATTTTATGTAATGTGTTGAAACGGACCTGGATCTTGTGTTTATTTAGGATTTTGGAGATCTTTTTTGTGACCCCCGCAATGTAGGGTAAAGTGATGGTTTTGAAAGGCTCCTCAAGAGGGTTCTTCTTCATGGTTTGAGTGATAGCTTTGCGGATTGTATAGTCGGAGTAACCATTAGCCCTAAGAGCTTGGTGTACGTGCTTGAGTTCACTGCTTATGTGTTCCTGGTCGGATATGCATTGGGCTCTATGATACAGAGTCTTGATGAGAGAATTCTTCTGTGATGGATGGTGGTGGGAATCCGGTTTCAGATAAGCATCCGTATGGGTAGCTTTCCTGTAGACAGAGTGGCTCATTGAACCATCAGGTCTCTTTTTAATTAGGACATCCAAAAAAGGTATCTTGCCATCTATTTCGACTTCCATGGTAAATCTGATGGCTGGGTGTATGAAATTGATGTGGTCGAAGAATTGGTCTAGAGCAAGCCGGCCATGTGGCCAGATGACAAAAGTGTCATCACGTACCTCTTCCATAAGGTTGGGCGCAGAGTGGCAGTCTGGATGGCGTCAGTCTCAAATTTCTCCATGAAAATGTTAGCTATAACTGGAGAAAGGGGGGAGCCCATTGGGGTGCCCTCAGTTTGTTTGTAGAAAGTTCCATTCCAAGTGAAGTATGTATTGGTTAAACAGTGTCTCACCAGGGGGGGTACCTCAGTGTTTAGTCCTTGATGAACCAAGTCTTCAATGATTGCAATGGTGTCAGGTACAGGAACCTTGGTGAATAAGGAAACTACATCAAAACTGATAAGCAGGTCGTCTGGGGACAGGGAAATACCCTTGATTGTCGATACCAGGTGAGTCGAATTTTGTACCACAGAGGTGGTCTTTCCAGTGAAAGGACGCAGGATTTCAGACAAAAAACGAGCTAGTTTGTAGGTGGGGGAGCCGATAGTAGAGACTATGGGACGAAGGGGTGTATCTACTTTATGTATTTTTGGTAAGCCGTATAATCTTGGTGGCCTGGCAGCAGAAGGTTTCAACGAAAACTGTTTAGATTGATCAATTAATGCGGTTGAATCAGAAATTATTTTGTTGGTTTGTGTGACGAGGCTGTTGGTGGGATCTCTTTTTATTTTTGTATAACTACCATCGTCGAGTAATTCTTAAATTTTGTTGTTGTATTCTATTTTATCCATGATGACAGTAGCATTGCCTTTGTCAGCTGAGAGGACTACAATATCATTCCTCTTTTTTAATTTATATAATTCAAAACGCTCATCTTTGCTGAGGTTGCTAGCTGGCATCTTAGCGTTTTTGAGGGTTGCAGCGATTTCAGATCTTGCTACGTCTGCAGCGATGTGACCCAGGCCCCTGAGAGCAATGTCGCAGCCAGCCATCGGTGGCTGGCTGCGACACTCCCGCTACCCGAACGTACGACTGCACCGTGACGCCCCGGACGCCGTGACACCTCACCCGTCTGTCCCGTGGTCGGCAACGTCGGGCTCATCCTTCTGTCACTTGATGCGCGGCCACGCGGCTCTGTATGCAAGCCGTCGAACCCAAAACACGAACGGTGACACGGTGAATTGGAAGTCAGGGTGGATGAAGTGGCACCACTGTGATATTTTTTTGTTTGAAAGCATGGCAAACTCACCTGTGATTCAACCTAGGTTATTAAGGTGTTGTAAGTTGATAGTCTCAGCCCAGTCACCAATAACTGCACCAAAAACGATATTAAATTTGGTCGTGCACTTCGATTGTTTGATTTCCATCTCTGAGAAAACTACTGCGTTTGACTGCCATGTGATGAACATTACTTTGATTGGCAGAGTGGTTGGAAAAGCACTGCCCCCCTACAATTTGGACTGCATTTCACTTCAATGGATCTTAGAAGTAGCTCTGTTATGTCTGCTCCTGTGGGTCGTCCTTGACCACGAAGGGTTTGTATAGATTGCTTGTCTTGTGCGATACCATTAACACAATGAGAAACAAAATTGGTGAAAAGTTAAATATATTGTTAAGATGTATTCTTTGGGTTGTATCTTTGTTTAAACAGATGTCGGTTAATATTCTACATAATGTACGTTAGGTACAAGGTTGGCATTGTGGTTGTGCTTTTCATACCTATTTGCCACTGCACAACCGAGCGACACCATGGCTGGCACGGTTTAGTAGGCTGCAGGTTGTTTATCCACTGCAAAAGCGGATCCATGCCATGGACGGTCAATGCTTTGAACAAGGCTAGGCACGTGCAGATGACGCTGTGGTGCCACGTCCCCGCGGTGTACTGACTGCCGTCACACAATGTGTCGCTAGCCCCGCCCCTGGCCCTGCTCGGCCCCCGGATATATTTGGATGCCTTGTGGGGCCAGCATACTACGGTTTGGTTCTGGTTCGACACGGCAAAAAGCCAGTGGGTGACCACAGACACTTCGAGAGATCTGCACTGTCTGGGTTCCATTGTACCAGTGGAAAAGGGATACCGGTGACGATTGGCCACGTATGTGCATATGCATGTTGAACTTCTTCCGTACCATACGTAGACAACCGTGCTAATCGTCGGTGTGCTTGTGCAGGGCCATTTTGTGCGCTCTCTGGGCGAATGTGGGGATAAGGAGACGGAGACGGAGGTGCTGCTGCTGGAGCACGACGTGCCACACCAGCCCTTCAGCCAGGCCGTACTTGCATGCCTGCCCCCTCCCACGTTCAGCATCACAGCAGAGGTACGCATGAGACGTGTGACGATATGTCAATTCATCGATTGAGTTCAATTCTTACGCCTGCGGTGTGTTGGTGTGCTTGGTCGTGCATGTGAGAATCCTTTACTTCAATGTTCTTTATTACAAGGCCCACGGGCCACTGGTGGCCCCTGGGTGGCCTTTGGTGTGGCCCATGACGTGTGGCCCCCGACGTATAGGCCCCCGACAATAGACAAATGCGAAAACAGCCCCCATCATCATCATCGTGCTGTCAAACCTCAATAGTTTCAAGATGTTTGGCCTGCGTAGAATACCTTCTAGAGGACCTCTCTGGAGCTCTCCCTCCAGTCGAGGTCCTTCCGCTGCACTGGCATGAACGAGAAGCCACGGGGCTCTACACCTTTACCGCAGACCGTATATAGAAAAGCCGTCGACCTGAAAGAAAGTCGATGGCTCGGACACATCATCGTAAGAAGAGAGGAAATTCACATCGGAGGAAGGAAGGCGACGGACTTATGGAAGCACCAGGGCGGAGACCCGAGAGGCAGGCCTCGAGAGATGCGGATCAAAGTGGTGAGCCAGGATGTGGAGGACTCTGCAGTAGCCGTGGAGATGGTCCAGTACAGAAATGAATGGAGCAAGGGGACTACAGACTTTTTTCCTATAACGCTGTACTTGCGTTCCTGAAGAACACCGAATTGTGGAAAAATCGCATAATAAATAAGATAGGGTAAAGCACAGTCCGCGATAACACGTGAGATGCGTACGCAGGCTTAACAAAGACTTCGGGTACGTGAGTAGCATCTAGAAGCATCCAGAAGCATCCCACCTTGTGTGATGCTACACCGAGGCAACCGTACAACCGCTTATTCTGCCTCGCACAACGCAGTTCTGTTCACTCGATCGCCTTTTATCCAATTCGCATCCATGTTATGAAAAAAATGTGTTCCCTAATGCATTCATCGCATTATATCTAATTCACGATATGAAAACACGCGGAGTTATAGGAGAATGGACTGTACTTTCAAAATATTCAGTCGCCTATTGAGAAGCTAGAACGCCATTAGAATGAAGTTGGTTTACCCATGTATGGCTCACCCTGTGTTTTGTTTGTTGTAAGGCAGCGTTTTGTTGAACCTGGTGCTGTGTGTGTCCCGTACAAGGACCAGGCTGGCAGGGAGGACCTCCGTGTGTTGTCCATCTGCAGTGTGGATCCTCCAGGCTGCACAGACATCGACGATGCCCAACACTGCAAACCGCTCGACAATGGGAACGCCGAGGTATTCATTTGGTGGTGGTAATCGTGGTCACGGTCGGGGTAATTCGTGCCTATTCCTTTCATGGTTTTGTCAATGCTAGCGGAGGTGACAAGGGGAGTTTAATGACACAATGATAAGTGCACTGCACATTCATCCTGTCAAGCTGGTTTAGTTCCAGTCATGGCTAACACCGGTACAGAGTGATATCTAAAAAAACTGCCCAAGTTCTCCCCTTCACCACCTGCATTGACCATCGTAACAAAGCAAGGTCAAATGACAATCGCGACCCATTACGGCATGGAGAAGCCCTCATCCTGCAGTGGATTGACAAAGGGGTGGACAATATTCCTGTTTTTAAGTTTCCAAACATTGTTGCCTTAGTGCCCGTATTCTTGGTCTCTGCTCGGCTCAGGACTGACTTCAACATGGCTCGGTTCTGGCTTGATCTGCTCCGTTGCCTCCAAAGAAGCATGAGTGGCTCAGCTGTGCCTTGGCTCACGCTCAGCTCACAGAAATTCTGAGCGTGGCTGGGAGCATGCAGGGATATACGAGGAGGCACAAGGGACACAGAGGCTCAGGGCTGGAACCATGCTTAGAGGCAGCTCGGGTTTTAAGCATTGCTTTGATGTGGCTTATTGAGAATTAGAATCAGAATATTTATACTGGAGGAATCCGATGAGCTATAAAGCTATTTTTCACATGTCCAGTAGAGGCGGGTAAGAACGTTACAACAACAAACAGTACAAAACATAATAGTAGTGCAAAGTACAAGAAAGACAAACAAATAACCCAAACACAAACAAATACAACGAAACCATCCCCATCCTACCAGGCAAAGCCCACTGAGGTATTGATTTATTTTTGATTAGTGACCTGGCCACAAATGAATAGCTGAACAAAGTGGCCCATCATTTGGACATTTATAGCAGCCAAAATAATAGAAATAATCTCAATGCATGTTGCGCGAGAGCCAAGCCTGAGCCAAGCCATAGCTAAGACTCCACTGGCCTAAGTGTCCACGTCACTGGCCGAATGCCTGGTTCACAATGAATGCACCAGGTGGTAATGGGTGTGCATTTCATTTCACATTATTGTGCTTTGGTTGGAGTGGCTATGGTGGAGGTTATGCATGCATGTGTAGTGAGCAACTTCCGACAGACGTCTAGTAGAAGGCGTCTTATTTATTAAAAGCACACAGGGCGATACACTTCGTAACGCGGCTACACCTAGGCTGTACAAACACGCAGCCCATCTCCGTCCTGCGTAGCTACGCTGGTTGGTTGACGAGCGTAGCGGCGGAGACAGAGCTGCTCTTGCAGAAGAACCAGCCACGTGGTCGAAGACGAAGAGATGACGACGGTAGCGACGCAACCAGGACCCAGACCCCACGCTAA